TAATCTCACGCTATTCTTCATACAATTATCAAAATGCCTCAATCACAAAAAATTCTGAAGATTCTATCGATGTGCCGTTTTACGATCACGTCACTGATTTGACCATCCTGCCGTGGGGTATACTTTAATGAATTTGTGTGTGTCACACAAGAAAATGTTAGATCAATTATAATTCGTTAATCTATAAAGCATTTTGTCTTGACCCCATTCCAAAACCACTGCTCATCACTCATCTTGATAATGTTCTTGAGTTTATAACTTCCATCATTAATTAAGAATAGTTTCAGTCTGGAGTATTTAAGCATGCTTTATTTACACACTTTCTAAAAAAAAGTCAAATATTTCCCTTAATGAGCTGAAGCATTTTTTTCTTCTTTTAAAATTACACCTTTATTTGTCCCTGAAGGGCACTTTGGTTTACAATGGCAAACATACATTTACATAATATATAAATACTTAATTATAAATATAAATACGTACAGACATAAATACAGGCATAAATACATACATAAACACACAATATTACACAAATACAGAACAGCAAAGTTTACAACCATGTCACTGTCGGTCGTCACTGTGCAGCGCCCTGTATTTTGAGCTTGGGTTGTCGTGTCTTGCTCAAGGACACACCCCAGTGACCACCCATCTGATCCCCGTGTCACCGACACTTGCTTGACATTACTTGAGTCTAAACTCACTACTCACTTAGCCAGTGGAGACCCCTTGATGAGCTCAAGTATTTTAGGTCTCTCTCCATTCTTCTCTTTTTATTAAAAAAACAACAACTACCAACAAATTCTGGAGACAGTCGTCTGTTTCAATTGAAAAATCATTTAACAAGAAAACAATTTATGTGAATTATATCAATTTGCCCATCGGCAGTTTCATAATACAGAAACTGCGCTATTGAAAATATATAATGACCTCTTTTGTGAGGCTGGTGAAAACAACATTTCAATCCTTGCTCTTCTTGATCTGAATGATGCTTTTGACTCTGTAGATCACGTTTTTCTTATTGGACAATTTTCAACATATTTCGGCCTGTCAGGCACGGGTCTTATGTGGTACAGGTCCTGCCTGATTGGCCCTACACAATCTATTGTTGAATACGATTCTTTTAAATCAGTTTTGAGACTATATTTTGGAGTGACTCGAGGTTCAGTGTTGGGTCCAGTGTGTACGTTATATACACAGCCACTTGGAGCTGTGGTTAGAAAGCACAAAATAA